GTACCTCTTGTGGAGAAATTAGGGGAACATTTGAGGTGCATTTTGATTTGTGGACAGTTGAAACTACTATTGAAAAAAATGAAACTTTTTTCAAAGAATGGAGTGGTGCAACAGAAAAAGTACCAATAAAGTTTTAATTAAAAGAAAAAAAATAAAAAAAAACCCAAAAAACCAACATACTGTATGTTTTGAATCTCACTGCAGGACACTCCTCCTCAGCTATGTCAACCTGCTTGAATGCCTAAAGTCCTGCAAGGAAGGAGATGCCCAGAATGCACAGGAGAACAAGACCCTTGTCTTGCAGCCAGACATACAGTAGCAACTGACCTAGTTCATTTTGTGACACTGACTCAAACAGGGACTCTGTTCTCCTTGGCCCACTTTTTCATGATGCGAACAATGTATTCCACTTGAGAATTACCAGTGCTCTTCAGAAGGTGCAGTACTTCCCGCAGAGTTTCTCTGCAAAGGTGAAAAGCAAAGATTTAAGTGAGGGTTATACAGCTGATACAACAAACTGCTTACATCAAACTATTTCACAAAACATGGGTCCTCTGAGGTGAGAGGTCCATTCATCTGCACTGCTGGAATAGGTTAAAATGCCCTCTAGATTCACATAGACAAAAACATCCCATAGACAAAAAAAGCAACCAATGGAAAAGTCTTATATACAATTGTAAAGAAATTATAAGTTAAAGAAAAAAAAATCACCAAAATGTAATTAATTTAGTGTGTGCATATGTGTGTATTTGTATACATACCCTCACTCTTGTGAAATTGTCCCCCATAACAAACCAAAGTTTGAAAAAAAAATCTTTAGTGTTATTTGCTACTCTTCAATATGGCAACATCAAGCTTTACTTTGCCAAAGCACTTCACACATAACACAATACATACAAACACAAATAACATGGAAATCAACATTCCTAATAGAATAAACCTATTATTATTAAACCTATATAAATCCTGTTGCAGTTTGCCAGTTGGTTTAAAGTAGGAACTTAAGTGCATATTTTGAGAAACAGCCAAGCTTTGTGTATTTCACCGCATCTGCTGCAGTGATTGGAAGATGAAAAGGACACTTG